ATTAATTATATAATATTCATAATGTAACGAAAGTCATATCACTTGTAGGATAGATATATAAAACAAACGTACAAATTACAGAGTAAAAAATGTATCCTAACGAGAGAGTTATCTGAAAAAATGAGGCCCTTTCTTTAGTGGGGAGACAACACCCATCAGATTTTACTTTTATTCGCCAGCCTATAATATACCATATTTAAAACGACCATGTACTTTCTCAAGCTAGTTGAATATATTCTTTTGCTTCTACAAAATCAAGAGAGAGAGAGAGAGAGAAAAGAGGGGACTTTAAAAACTAACGATTACGTCATGATATTTCATAACTAGTTCATAAATTAGGTAATTGTTTACGTCTATGAGAGTTGCTATTTGTTTTTCTCTTACATATTTGAAATAGTTAAATAAATCAGCTATTCCATTATCATTTCCTTCTGCAGTCGTTAAATTTACTTAATAACTTTTAATATGTACGTCTGTAATTATATAGTTCGATGTACATATATACGTATTTATGATGTACATATGTATATATATACTACGTACGTATGATGTACACATATATATATACGTACTTATGATGTACACACACATATATATATACGTACTTATGATGTACACACACACATATATATATATACATATACGTACTTATGACGCACACACATACGTACTTATGATGTACACACACACATATATATATACGTACTTATATCAATGTGTATATATACGTACTTATGATGTACATATATATATATATATACGTACTTATATCAATGTGCGGTGATATTGTAGATGACGACTGAATCTGTGTGTAAATTGTAAACACTGACTTTCATTAACGACCATGATTTTACTTATATCAGTGGCTGATTTTAGCTATCAACAGTCAATTTAAAGCATTAATGCAAAGTGAGTCGTCATAAAGACGATGCTTATGAATACTTCTAATTTGCGGATAAATATTGGTTAGTTTATTTATTTCAAAACTTCATGTTATGCAAAACTTGATCTTGGATTTTGAAAAATTGTATCCATTGTCTAGTTTACAATTTGGAACGAAAAACGTAAGCGATTAGCGATTTTACGTCGCTATCAAATTATTCTTCAAAAAATGTTGTTAGAAGATAGCATTGCAGCAGTTAAAACGTTATATATAGGTAAACTGAACTACTGCGCAGCCGTCAATTTTTTCCTTTGTTGTTATGCGACTACTACTGTAGAAAACTAATGATCGTGTCAGCTTTAATCGCACATAATCCTTTCTTAGGATTATTTCCGTACGATAATCAACTCAAAGGGTAATCTGAAAAAGTTATTCGTATCTCGTTCATGTACCGGTAATAACATTACAAAACTTTTATCTTTAGTAAGTAGAAAAACCTATTAAATCTATTGCTTCGTGCTAGACCAACTCTTCCGAACACAACAGATACATTGGTCTTTATGGAGTTTTGAGACCATATAGTAACCTAAATTAATTTAGGTATGTGAATAATGTTATGGCATTTCAGACCAACTGTTTAATGATTGTATATATATATATATATACATACATATATATATGTGTGTGTGTGTGTGTGTATGTTAAGCATTTCTTTCGTTGTAGAATATTGAATAAGGAATTCGACGAGATGTCATAACATTATTCATAAACCTAAATCAGCTTAGGTTACTATATGGTGAAGCAAAACGGACATTTCACCATTATAAGAGGCCTAATGATAGTTCTTTGGTTTGCTGACCCAAGCTGTTCTTATGAGCCTTGAATAGGCGAAACTGCAATTCACAGCAAAGGGTACGGTCAATCAAGGAATGTATTAGGCCTTACGTCACAGATTATCTTTTCAATTTCACTCTGGTGGGAAATAAATCGTTAACACACACACGCACGCACACATATGTATATTCACACAAGGAGAAAACTAATCGTTCTATGAATGAAACTTTTATCATTAAAGCACAAACTAAGGTGAAACAAAAAATACTTTATGAAATCATTGTTAGTTATAGGAATTATAAAAAACTGAAAAAACAAAACACAATTAACTGAATCATTCCCCTCAAAAAACAACAAAACGTTCTGTTAGACAAGTAGAATGTTTTCATTATTATAATAGACAACTAGCTGCAGTACCCGTCCACTGGACGGAAGTTATGTAAATTCATGATTAATGAAAGCTTATCTTGGGACATGAAAAGTTGCTTCCCTTATATGTAATTGTAACAAACGCCCATAAAAACTGCAAAACACAAAATGTGAAACCGCAACTTTGCATGTATCTCCGCATGGGCCTAATGAGCCTCCATTCCAAATTTGGTGAAGATCCACCTACAGGGGGCGAAGTAGTGGTTACAAAAGCAAAAACGCCCATAAAAACCACAAAAACGCAAAATGCAAAACTGAAACTTTGTATGTACCCCCGCATGGACTTATTACCAAATTTGGTGAAGATCCATCCACACCCTGCGAAGTAGTTATATGGACATACAACAGACAGTAACATTATATTTATTTAGACTAAAATTGAAAAAAAAAGGCTTAACTTTGGACTGGATCCTCGTTAGACAGCACTTACCGTAGATAGAAGGCCCACACACTCAGTATAATTTGTCCAGTTTCCCCACAACCAAGTTCCATTTTCTTGGCAAACTCTATAAGCCTTTTCTGTAATAATATTTTTTTTAATCATATATTTATTTCTATTTCAGAAGATTTAGTAAATTAACTTTTTTTCTAACAGAAGAAAAAAATTATCCGCATACAATGTCCTGAAGCTTATAGTAAACACTATGTTTCCGTTCTCTTTTGAGAGATTAAAGATTTAAACTAAAGATAAAACGCCTATCATAGATGAAGGTTCTCTGACTAGACTTATTTCAGATTTTTTTTGGCTCTTCTTTGGGAAGGTATGATTGTGTATTAGGTTAGAAAATTATGAAAAAATCGTTTAATGTAATAAGAAAGTCAATAGCATCAATAGCTCAGCTAGCCTCGTGGAATTGAATTTGAATTTATTTCAATATATTAACGTGGTTAACACAATGTGGCATGAAGCGAGAACAAATACTAATTTATCTTTTAAAGTTGTCTCAAACAATACATTGAAATAATTTATTGACACTAATAGGTTATAAAGCACTTGCTTTCGTAATTCAACTTCGCAGACATTTGCGAGATTTTGTGATTGGTTAATTGTACAATAGATTACAACTCCGCAGACATATACGAGATTTTGTGATTGGTTAATTGTACAATAGATTACAACTCCGCAGACATATACGAGATTTTGTGATTGGTTAATTATACAATAGATTACAACTCCGCAGACATATACGAGATTTTGTGATTGGTTAATTATACAATAGATTACAAAAGCATTAAAAAACGCCGTAAACTATCCTACATGAGTTATGGTTGTGTGTGAACTTATTTTTGTGTATTTTGTTGTTTGTTTGCAATGTGTGAACTTATTTTTGTGTATTTTGTTGTTTGTTTGCAAGCTCCTCCCCCAGTTTTAGAGCTAGCAGGACCAAATATCGCAGGCGGACTCGGAGTAGCCTGGAGGTGTATGTGTGCCCTTATCTATGTGGCGTAGCCTCCTAACAAGGGATACATAAGAGGGGCTAAAACGAGTCCGGTAGGTCGCCCAGACATGATGGGTGTCTAGAGTAGGTATTCAGGATCGCTGAACTTAAATCAGGGTGTGTGTGTTTCTGACTCTCTCGGGATCCAGGAATCGCTATGTCTGAAAGTATTTATACCCCGCTTACAAACTAGTGGGACCAAGTGGGGTTTGTTTTCGGATACGGACCCCTGGTTGTGGTAGCTATAAAAGTAAATAGGGATTATAGAGAAACTTTATTGGTACACGAAGGCCTCTGTGAGTTATTAGGGGGGGGGTCTTTTAGCCCCACAGCGGAAGCGAGTATTTTATGCTAGTACCAACAACAAAGCTTAGTTTTCCAAATATATTTTTTTGTGTTACGAAGCCTAAATAACTCAATAAACGTTTTAAAAAACCTGAAAGCTACATGCAAGGATACGCTGAAATACGTAAGCTATGCACAAACCATGAATTGAAGAATTTTCAAATAAAATGGTTTTCACTCCCGAAATGGTTACTTGAAAAAGCGTCAAAAAATAAAATAAAAGTAATTAGAAAAACAAACTTTCTTGCCTTACCTTGTCCAAAGGTTTTAGAGTGTAAATTGAGATGGTAGCTCGCAAAAATAGATTCGCAAGTTTTGGAGATAACCTTTCCAGCGGATGTCGGTGGCCAGCAATAAAAACCATCCCAGACAGCACCACAGTATAGCTCTGTGAAAGATATAGACTAAATTTATATAAAACTCTGTATAAAATTACTATTCTGCGTTTTAAACCATATGAATGGACAATAACTTGTTTCTTATACGAATTAAAATCACAAAGATATAACTTTTTATCCACCAAAAGACAAATTTGTCGTTTTGCATATCTTCACGGAAGGCTTATTAATTGTTTGATTTTATTAAGTAATGAGAAAAAAAGTATAAAAATTTGTGCAAAACACCGCCCATGTTAATTATAAAATAGCTAAAAAATTTTAAACTGTATATTAGATTCCTTTTAAGCACAAAACTGCAAAATAGGCTATCTGTGCTCTGCCCACTGTGGGCATCGAAACCCGATTTTTGGCGTATAAGCCCTCAGACTTACCCCTGAACCAGGGCGAAGTTAAAAAAGTGTATGAAATTATAATTATAGCAAGGAACAACAGTGTTAAAGTAGCTGGAATGTTGTTACGTTATCGAGTAGAACAAAGGAATATTAGTGTTAAAACTGCTACACTATTGTAGTTTCCGTCAGTCACTGAGTGAAACAAGGGATACTAGAGGGGTACTTAGTAGAGCGCATACCTCCGTCACACAGCGTTGATCATATTCAGTTCTCAAAAAATTCGAAAACTTATCCTTATGTTCGTCGTTATTAACGGACACGCATAATGTTTGGTAGGACAATAAGGAAAAATATTCTACATATGTTCATCAAGTTTCTTCAAAAACCGATCATTTTTGACTAAGTTATAGAACAAAAATAGTGTAAAAAGTCGGTCCCAAGGTTAATAGATAGCAAATTTATTTTGGATTTTCGTAACCTCGACCCTTGAAATTGAGCTCCCAAAACTAATTACTTCTAGATTGGGTCATAGTCCAAATGTATACCAACTTTTGTCCAAATGAATTCAGCCGTTTTCGAGAAATCTTGCTGACAAACACACAGAGGGATGAAAACATAATCTCCGTCCACATTCGGAGTTAATAAAAGCAGACATCTTATATAAAACACGTGAACAAAACTTTAAATGTTGGACAAACTACAAAACTACATTGGGCATTATAGGATATAATATCGAAAACAAATGATATCTATAATCTTCGAACAGTCTTAGTTAAAGATAACTAAAAAGATAAGCTATCTAAAAGATAACTACGGGTAGCAATTCGTAATATAGTTAAACAGTTACGTAACTACACGTGCAAATCAACATATCAAAACGACTTAGAATATTAATTAATTTATATATTTTAGTATAAGATGGATAAAGAAAATAAATACCACCACGGCTAAACTACTATCATCCAATGTTACGAAAGGGCACCAAACAAGTATTGTAAGCTTTTCGTATGTTATGCTTTATCTACTGAGATATTAATGAAACATAACCTGATGCTGTTTTCATCTATTACTTGCCAAATGGCGTTTAAAGTATAATCAGAAATTTTAGTTTGTTTTCCGAATTCAACAAAGTCCAGTGACTCTTGTACTGTCAATAATTCCGAATTCAACAAAGTCCAGTGACTCTTGTACTGTCAATAAGACATCTGCCACTAAATTATCATAATTAAATTTCATGATATTCTAATAATTTTTATAATCTTTGTACATAAGAATTTTATATTTCTTAGTTACAATTTTTTAAAACTTATTTAAGTTCTTGATTGTTTGTTTGTAATTAAGCACAAAGCTACACAATGGGCTATCTGTTCTCCGCCCACCAGGAGCACAGTTACAGTTTCGTTCTGAACCAACAAAACTTGCTTTTGTATTTTTCATGTATCCAAAAATAATTCAAATTAAACGACTTTCTTTAACTAGTCCACAACGGTGATCGAATTGATTTTTCAAATGAATTAAGAACTGAAAGTTAATTTAATCTCAAAGTTATTTCTTTCACCGTAAACACGAATGAAAAAAAATCTTTGTGAAGAAAGACTATATGTATACTTTATGTATGGTGTTTTAGATGTTTATTCATCACAGTGAATCTATGTTTCTATATGATTTGAAGCATATTTAGCATTGGAGATACTAATTCATTCTTCTGTATTATATATCAGACGAGCTGTTTATTTCTATATATATGTATGATTTTGTAGTCTCTTCAATGTTTTTATTGACAAGTATAAACACAATTTTAAGAAATGCATTAAAGATGAAGAGTTAACGAAAACTTACAGTAAAATACAAAACAGCTATATGCATTTATTTGAATTCATTAAATATGCAAATTATTCCCGAAACTTAAATTCTTAAATATATTACAAACTATTGTTGTTACTAATATTGATAGCCATAGAACATATGACCTTGGAAGGAAGATTTATTATAGAGTATGCTAATAGCTTCCGCGGGCTTATCATAAGAGGGGACTAGATGAAAAATTATAATAATTCTTTAAGTAAATATCATAATAGTTTTAATAAGTTTACATGTTGAAATAGAACAGTAGCCTTAGGATTATTTGATTAAGTTATTCTTTTGCTGCTACAGGGTGTCTTATGTGTGCAAAACTGAAAGTTTGAGTATTGAACAAACTATTTTTCCACTTCATCTGTTTATTGATATATATGTCGTATTTCATTAGTTACTTTCTTCTGGTTAGTATAACAACTATATGGTCACGTATTGTAACATTATGTCTAAATGTATTCTAAAACTATTGTCATTTATACTTATGTAAATGTATTTTTTTTACATTTTTTTAAAGCTGTAATGTTTGTTTTGAATTTCGCGCAAAGCTACACGAGGGCTATCTGCGCTAGCCGTCCCTAATTTAGCAGTGTAAGACTAGAGGGAAGAAAACTAGTCATCACCACCCACCGCCAACTCTTGGGCTACTCTTTTACCAACGAATAGTGGGATTGACCACCACATTATAACGCCCCCACGGCTGAAAGGGCGAGCATGTTTGGTGAGACGGGGATTCGAACCCGCGACCCGCAGATTGCGAGTCGAGCGCCCTAACCACCTGGCCATGCCGGGCCGAAAGCTGTATTGAAGCCTGAGAATAGACTTTAATACTTATCAGAACGATTTTCACTAAATCATACTTAACTTAGTTTGTAATTAAGATTCGATACTAACGAATCCTTTAAAACGACACCGTGCTTTAATTCTCTGTGCTTTTCTTTCTAATGCAAAGTTAATTTCTTCAGTTATAGGGCTTACGTAGGTATTCTGATATTAAATAAAATTTATTTCTTTTAACATCATTTTTTATAACAATTTAAGTAGGACGTGAAATAATGGTTAGCGTGCTCGGATTGTAAATCCGACGTTTCCTAATTCGCGGTATATTGCCGCAGAAATGTGTTTATGGGCCGTGGGTGTGCTATAAAAGTGACGATTAAAAATCACTGATTTCTTCAGACAAAATTAGCTCGAGAATTAGTGGTGGGTGATTTTCACTAGCTAACTTCTCTCGCTGATGCCACCCAGTGGCCCAGCGGTATGTCTGCGGATTTACAACGCCAGAATCCGGGTTTCGATACCCGTGGTGGGCAGAGCACAGATAGCCCTTTGTGTAGCTCAGTCTTAACTACAAACTCTCTCAGCTGAAAATACGAAATAGCTATTCGCGAAAATTAGGAATTAAAAACTGAATTCTACATCTTCTAAGTTCCTGAACTGACATTATTTATTAACATATAGATACATATTAGTGTAGATATACGTTATTGGATTATTTAATATTCTGTCTCTTGTTCTATTTTCTATCTTTGTTATATGATCAAGATCCACAAGAAGTTAAGTTTTATTTCTACGTTTTTAGCACTAAAATAGATCTGTTGTTTTGAATTAAGTTATTCGATGATTTTATAATTATCTACTTTGATAAACATCGTTCAATATAGTAGTACATTTTTCCAATCTGCAATTCTGAAAATCGACAAAAGGCTTACAGTAAAGAATTTCTAAAACTGCTTTACATAACATATGTACACTAGAAATTCCACAGGCCGAGAAGTTAGTGAAAATATTGAGATAATAACTTATATACACAGAACTATATAAAACACAGCTAAGGCTTCTCATCACACTCTCATTAAAATGCGCAGTCACAATAGTATTAGTTTGAATTTATATTATTTTTCCCATTTAGAAAAGTAGTAAATGTGAGAGGAGTATTATATATGTGCATTATTGATGCTTTTAAAGAACCTATATTTAACAGTAGAGAACCTATTCTTAACAGTAAAAAGCTTATACTAAACAGTAAAGAACTTATACTAAACAGTAAATAACTTATTCTTAACAGTAAAAAGCTTATACTAAACAGTAAAGAACCTATTCTTAGCAGTAAAAAGCTTACACTAAACAGTAAAGAACTTATTCTTAACAGTGAAAAGCTTATATTAAACAGTAACAAGCTTATACTAAACAGTAAAGAACCTATACTTAACAGTAAAAAGCTTATACTAAACAGTAAAGAACTTATTCTTAACAGTAAAAAGCTTATATTAAACAGTAAAGAACCTATACCTAACAGTATAAAGCTTATACTAAACAATAAATAACCTATTCTTAATAGTAAAAAGCTTATATTAAACAGTAAATAACCTATACTTAACAGTAAAAAGCTTATACTAAACAATAAATAACCTATTCTTAGCAGTAAAAAGCTTATGCTAAACAGTAAAGAACCTATACTTAACAGTAAGCAGCTTATTTCTAACAGGGCATTTTTTTTATTCCCGTAAACTCCCAGTGGAGCATAGGGCCGTAACAACACCTCACCAACGGAAAGTTGTTGTTGCAGTTACTTGTAGCAGGTTGGTTTTTCACGGGGTGGAGTTGTTAGCCCGGCGCCCAACCCTCCTCCTTTCTCATCCTGGACTTGGGACCAGGCAAAGGCGGAGGTTGGCATGTTTGGTGTGACGGGGATTCGAACCCGCGATCCTCAGATTACGAGTCGAGCGCCCTAACCACCTGGACGATAGATCTCTCAAACTATTCTCTGATCACTTAATCATTATGATGAATAAAGAATGTTT